AATATCGTTTCACGTTATGTCAAGTAGTTTTATTTTACAGATGCAATGTTGATATTCACATCACTTAACGCACCCCATTATCACTTTCTTTATTTGCGAATCAAACATTACCCGATAATCAAATTTTAACTATTGTTTTACCAGTCGAAAATATTGATACTACCCCTGGCTACCACCTCTAACTGAAATTTAAAAGTATGTAATCGTTGCATTTTTTGAGCAATCGGAGCATCGCGTGGTCGGAATTCGAAAACAATCGAAAGATATTTTTATGATTTGTTGTACGGTGTTCACAAGATGCAAAAGAAGTCTATTGGATCGATAATGATGATATTTATAGTCCCGCTTATATATACATAAAATTACTAACTGTACGCATATGTAAGGTGTGTGGATTGATTTATGTTCATCACTCAACCCCTCCCCCAGTCCTTTGTATTGCGGTAAAATTATACAGAGTTATACTTTGTATAAATATTTATTGTAGATGATATTACAGTTAATATTATTACTAGGGTATTATAAAAATATATGCATATATGTACATCAATGTTGATTCAAAGATGGATCGGCGGATCAACTGCAAATTATCAGAAAATATTTTAATATCCTATCAATGCATATCTGCCACCGGCTTTGAAGTTAAATTTACGTATTTCATTGATTTTCATTTACTTTAATATACATATTTGTAAACGACAAAAGTTGTAAATTATAACTTGAAACCTTTATGGAAACAGGTAATTTTATTGAACTCAAACATTAAACCTTAATAAAATGATTGACTGTAACGATTTTTAAATATAGATGTGTAGAAGCTATTTACTATTGAATTATAATAGCATATGAATAAGTCTATTATTAAGCGTTAAGGTCTTCGAATTATATATTTTAGTTTTTATTAATTCTAACAAAAAAAAAAAAAAAAACAATAATTTTTCGCAGAAGTAAATATGTATTGTAAAGTACTAATATGTGTCCAGACGACATTTTTAGATCTCTCAACTCAAAAATCTTGTTGGAATTCTGGTTTAGAATGTATACTATGTGTGACTATTAAATTCAATATGTTTGAGATTTAATATTTCACTCGAGACATGATTTTGAATTAGTGGAACTAAAGTAAATAAGTAGATCGAACTATGCACTTGAAAATTATTCGTACGCATATACGTATAATTATATCGTAGACCCCTTGTGTCGCACCGACATAACATAAATAACAAAATAAATTTTAAGGTTGCCGCACACGGAAACGGAAGGAAACGGAAAAAATGAATAAACATAATTGTAAATGAGATCCAGCATACTGGATAGGATCAGATTGGAACGGAACCAAGTTGTTTATCGACAATATTCTGACAGATTCCGAAGCGGTCCGAACGTAATCGCATGCGTACTAGCACATAGAATACACGTACTACGCCACTATAAACAAGTTAGGTTTTTTGTATTATTTTTTTTTTTTTAATGCCCTGAATCTTTATTATTTAAGCGACCCAAAGGTCTTTGTAAATATGTTTGACAATTATACATATTTTACATACTAGATATAAATTATATATATATATATATATTACACGTTGATGCCTTATCCTGCCTTAATTTAAAATCTTAAACTAAGTCGTATGGTTTCAGACGCTTAAGACATCTGATATCCTTAGAGTTATCTAATAGTTGGATGGCCAATGGATTGACATGGTGATCTACCCTCATCTCGTGTTAGCGAGCAAACCTTTGAATTTCGTCTGCTACTGTTAAATTTTGGATGAGAAGATTATGTGACAAGTTCAAAAATATCCATATTTATATGGTATAGATCTTAAATATTATAATGGAAGACAACACTTGGGAAAAAATAGTAGAAAACTTGAAAGAACCAAGTGAATAATTATAATTAAATAGGTATTGCACGAATGCATTAGATATATGTAATACATATGTCATAAATGGTTAGAAAAAAATGTGCAAAGTTTATTTGGTCGTGGGAGTTCCGATTTGTTCCGACGCAATGTACAGAGGAAGTTCGTTTCCTTTCCGCCACGTTCTGATAATAGGAATCCGATTCCATTCCGTTCTAATTCAGTAAAAGTACACGTTTTGGTTCATTTCAACATAAAACTATAGTAATATTTGTTTTATGATTAACGACAAACAAAAATGAAATTCGTAAAACGCCTTTTGATTTTATTTAACAATCTGACTTCTGAATAACACCTAATGGTTTTCAATACTTACGATTCTATATTTAGGTCAAAAGTCAAATCGATTCATTTAATTTGACTGAAATCTTATATAAAAAAATTATGTGTCTTAAGTGTTTACTGAATAATTTTTTCTCGTATAATTGAAATTATATTATATTTAGTCAAAAGTAAGTAGGTTTACTTTGAGAAACCGCTGTACAATTTTTTAAGTAGGATATATATATATATATATGAGTTGATAAACTATGAGTGATTTGATTTTTCATTGGAATTTTTAAATTAGTAGATTTGAACTTAATAGATAAAAAAAAGGTGAGGAATATCATAATTCGAAATTCATATTATTCCTTAATTTCCGAAACGGGTTAACGCTAATATGTGTGTAAAAAAAAATACTGATACTTGTCAATGTGCATTTCGCTCTGAAAATGATCCATAGCATGCCTACGCATAACACACTTTTTTATCTTCGTTGTTCATGACCTATATAATAAACACAATTTGAATTATAATGTTTATAAAGAAAACACTTATCACGCAAAAAACTTGTGCTCATTTAACAAAAGTCAACACTTACTAGAATGCTTCAGGATTTAACAATTGTACTATCTTAAAAGAGTTGTAAACTAATATCGATAAACCATAAACAGTACTAAAGTTTTTATGATAAAACAAACTTCAGGCTCGTAAAAATTACAATTAGCCAAAATCTTTAAAGGATCTCTCATAATTCATTTGAAAATCACTAATAAGCTAAAATATTTTCCAAAAAAATACAAAGTGATGATGTACAAGGATGGGATGAGATAAAGTGATATAGATGACTGATATCATAATATTGGTGAATAATTTTTTTGTACCTTTGATATCAATGTCGGTATCGTTAAATTATTCTAAAAGGAGCCTCAATTTAAAAATCATTTGAATAACTATATTAGTAAAAGTACCAAATAATTTTATAACCATAATGTTGGTTAAGCTGACTCTTACCATAAAAAAATTGCGTATTGTTTTAACCATTTGACTCTGATTAAATTAATTCGTATGAATATCTAATTTCGTTAAATTATATTATTCTTAAGTTAATTATTTTAACTACTATCCGATTAACTTTTTGTTGTTGAGTAAGAATAAAAACTTCTGAAGAATTTTGTAGATAGTTTTAAAGCCTTACACCTTGAGTATGAAAATTGAAAATTTTATGAATTTTCAACTACAAAATGATGCTACCTAAATTTCAAAATTTTGGTCGTGTTATAAAAATTTAATCATTCAAATTCATATAAAAAAAAATGTGTGCCTACGCATTTTCGAAATCTCTGCATCGAAATTGGAATAGATTATGAAAACTCCCGTGAAAAATTTTCGAGCGTTGAAACCAAATTGACCAGTTTAATTTTTTAATATCTTCGATGATGGACGTATGAGTTCACTGCGACAAGACGATAGTCCTACAGTGTAATACTTGATTTCTCCAAAGATAAACGAAAGTGAGCAGTTGGTAAAAAGATAATTTTAAAAACCACGCGCATATTTGGAGATTTGGAATTTTTTATAAGCCCCCCCAACACTACACAACATCATGTAAATTACGTGTTTTACATCTGCATTCGCAAAAGCTTAAAACATATCCCTTTCGCTCGGTGTATTTCCCTTCCTCGTTTTTGATTTCAATCCGAAAATCGTTGTTATTCTCTACAGTGATCCCAGTATTGTACATTGTACACATGTGATATATATATACTCGTACATGCAATACACGTACGCGCATATAGTGCACAACAGTAATCAGTACAATAATAACGATTGTCCGACCATCATAATACGAGCAATAATTATTATTGTAGACGCGGGTTTCGTTTTTCATTAATCGTTTTACACAAAAGCTACAACGGTTCACTATGTCGTTCTGTACATTTACGCAAGCCGTACAAATAAGTCTAAAATATTACCACGTTCAAGTCGTAGACCACGCAACAATGATGGCATTATTTTCGATCACACAATGCTGCAATACGCAACAATAATTGGGAACGCAAACAACGATCTGCAACATGGTCGGGTGTACGTAACGAAAGTATATCAATGAGTGTTCTCGTACGTGCGCCGAATAAAATAATTACCTTATACATATTTGTCCGTCTACGAAAATACGAAATGACATGATTATCGCGATTTGCGGCTGTTAATATTTAATAATACAACGAACGTTCTAAAATCAGTATTGTTAACAAATAACGTAATGCGATCGTGTGCTCGACTAAATACGTTAGCGAGGAGGAACGGCAATAAAATCGTTAACAAGAAATCATTTTTCTTTTTTTAATAATCACGTCTAGCCGTTGATGCAACCGTCCACATTATTTTTTTTTATGCTTAACAGCAATACGCCAAAGGCAACAAAACAATAGAAAGTAATAATACGCGTAGAGTCCTGGCTGTATAAGTGTAGACAATAGATTATTTGCCGTGTAAAAAGTACAAACCGTACAGCACAATTTGACTACTTAGCGAATTGTAATTAACAGCTAATCAACGTTACGCACGACTTGATGTTATGTTGTACAGGTGCAAAAAGGAATTGTAATGTGTACACCGAATGTGCTGAAAATTATGTGGTGGAAGCTAAAAAAAATAATTAGAAATGTTACAAATACGTTTTTATTTAAAAATATATAATTTGAGATTCAACATAGTATAGTATAAATAAATATATGCTTGACAAGCTATTCAACTTCAATATATATATATATATATATATATATATATATAAATTATATACACAAATAAATTATTGTCAAGGCTAAAATATCGAGCCCTGCATTAAATTTTGTTACAACAATAATGTTCCTATTAAAAAAAAAATAATAAATAAATAAAAAATACATCTACGAAGTTGTATGTGATTACGAATATTGTTTTTATAAAATCGATAAAAATAATATAAATCGACGGATGGATTCGAAACGGCCAACATGAAGAAAGTAATAATATAAACAATAATGAAAATTATATCGAGATATGGACCGAAAGCCGATTGGAACAATGATATACGGCGGCGGCGGATATGGTTGTGACAATAATGTGCGGGGCTAACAAAGACCCTCGACGGGAAACGCACTCGGGAGGGGTATGCAGTTGAGCAAGAAATACGCTATCGGTGGCGGAGAAGGACGGTTGTAAAAGCAACGGGTGAAACGCACGTAAAACATTTTTTTTATCGCCACGACAGAATTCTAATGAAGAAAAAAAAATGGTTTAAAAACAAGTAATGTTCAAAAAAAAAAAACAAACACGGATATAAAAAAATTGAACACGGAATGAAATCATCGTCAGAGGTAGATCGTCGGCGTGGCCCGTCAGCCCAGCAGACCTCTGGACTCGTCCAGGTAGCTGTTCATCTGGCTCCCGATGACCAGCTTGCTCTCCTTCCGGTTCCACGTGCCCAGCCTGTTCTTGTAGCTGCTGCACGCGATTATGCCATCCATGCCCGGCGGCCGTTCCGTGGGTATAGGGCACGCGGACGCCGAGCCCTTGTATGCGGCGCTGCCGTTGCCGTTCTCCGTCACCGACTTGACCAACGGGTCCATTAGATCGTCCAGGTTGTGCACGTCCTTGACCAGTCTTGGCGGTCGCGAGAAGATCAAAAACAGCGCCACGGCTATTCCCTGCGCAGCACAACAAGACACACGGTCGGTCAACAGAAATAAATTAAATTCTGTCTCGTTGTTTTAAATTCCAATATATTATAATTGTATTATATTATTTTTGTTAGGCGCGTTAAATGTCATGATATGTACGTATCGTCCAAGAAATTTATAATCAACGGCTCTTTTGGAACGAGCACGAAAAACACAATTCAAAATAATTGAGGTCCATGACGTGGCACACTGTGGTCATCTTAAATATAGATCAACCATCAAAAAATACCCCTTTGGTGAAAGAACCATCTCGCTATACTCTCCGTTATAAAGTTCTAATGTGTACGAGCGTTAAAAGTGTCCGGTTCATTTAATTCTGTGTCTGTCCTAGGTAGATGATTTCAACCTCACACTGTTTTTGCGTTAGCATCAGACAAATTTTAGACGTCCGGATATCGACAGCAAACCATGAAAGTGATATTTTATTTAGCTTTACTCGGTTGCACTGATCTGCTATCGAACCTTCGTAACTCTTAATTGCCCTACATTAAACAAGGAGGAAGGTAAATCAACCTAACCCACCTAGTCATATGCTCATATTTATTATTGTTTTACTTTTGAGTTATAACCAAGTGGCTCCAAACGTTGGCTCTATCCTTACAATTTTGCATCCGACATTTGAAAGTATTTTTTATCTAGATCTAACGATTGATCAAAAACATTAATATAACCCACTCAATAGCCTGTAGTAACCTCTAACCAATTAAATAGAAAAAATATTAAATATTTAATGATTTTTCGGTATACATTAAGTCTGTAATCTGTATAAAATGTCTTATATAATTTATATTTAATTGAATGAAATGACAAGAGATTTTTTTTAAATCATTTTTACATTGTGTTGAGGTTTCATATTACAAGATAGTTGTGATTTAATGTGAAATCAATTATTAATACAGGAATGTCACTATCGTTTATTTTATTATCATTATACTAGGTATGTTAATTATTTGATTGGAAAATGAATTAAACACTTAAATAATTTATTTGATTATTTATCTTTAGATTAACTTTCTAAATCATATTGTAATAACCCGAAAATACAAATATAAAAATAAAAGAGCAATATAAAGGTGAGTATGAGAGAGATAGGATTACCTTACTCCTTGTTTAAGAGAGGGCTCTCGGGGTTACGAAGGTTGGAGAGCCGATCAGAATAACTGGACAATCGGCAAGCCAAATAAAATATCACTTAATTGTTTTTTAGTAGGTGTTCAAATGCCGACGAGCTGTGCACTTATAACTATCATAGAAGTGTAATGAGGTTTAAATAAAATGAGACAAACACAGTATTTGATACACTCAAGTTGGACACTTTTCATTCGCAAAGAAAACTCAAATCAAACAAATGAATTATAAAGGTTAAATAGTCGTACGTTGTGATCACTTATTACAGGAGACTCCTTTATTAATCTGACGGTCGGTGCGCACGCATTGATAACATAAAATCAAGAGCCTCTTACGCCCACGGCCTATGCGCAAGAGCTTTGGAAAAGAATTGTCCCTGTTCTATAGGGACGTATGGCGGGATGGACCGTGCACCGGTCCTTTAAAGATTTGACCAACTTATGGTGTGAATTATGTATTATTAGGTAAGGCCTTTATTATTTGAATTGTGATCTGTGTGCGGATATCGAAATAACTGTTATTTATTAGTTTTTAAAAATGGTATAAAATCGAATAGTGAAGATTATTACAATTAATTTGTGCAGTATTTTACAGTCGAATGATACAGATCATTAAAATAATTGGTATAATGCTTTTTATTTAATCAAACATTTCATTATTTTATGACATATATAATAATTTTAATAAAATAAAATATTATCATTTATGAGTTTAAACAATGTGTTAAAAAAGGGACTTGATTTAAATTGAGTTCACTTAAATTCTTAGATAAAAAATAACGCATTGTTAAAAATAATTATAATTAAAAAGATAATAACAATGTGGCCAAATGTTTATCATTAATTTGTGTATATATTTAAAAAAAAGAATGATCAGATAAGACGCATTAACTAAAAATAAATATATATATATATATATATATATTATCTAATGCAGTATAATCCTAAATTATTAGATCATATTTAATACAAGATTAAAATTTTATTAGATAATTATTTAGGTATTACATAGGTCTAAATAAAAGATAGAAAATAGTTTTATTGAAATTATTGAATTCAATAAAATGTTGATAACGAAACAAACGAATTACGTTAATCATTGTTAATGAAACATTTTAAATGTTGAGCCTTTGTGCTGAGTGGGTCAGGATTTAAATCATCAAGTTTATTAGCAGTACCTTGCAGTGCCGGCCGTAGAGGAGGGTAAGCCTTGCGATCGCACCGGGCCCCGCGCTTGTTTGGGGCCCCACAAATTGTGTATTACGAATATCACTTTATAAGTAAAAATAATATAGTCTCAGTACGCAAATCACAGCCCGTGTGGTCTTGTGATTTTCTCAGGAAACGGATTGTTATCGACGAAAATTAAGACGGTACCAATTACGCATAGCTTTGAAGTATTGCACGCGCATGTACTGGTAAAATTGTTTATATTTATCGTCGACAACGGTACAAAATATTATTTAGTTATATAATAACATGAACGTAGATTTTTATAAGCAATTAATAAATCAATAAATTAATATTTATAGGGACCCGCAAAATTCTGCACTGGGCCTCGAAAACCGTCGAACCGGCACTGATACCTAGTTTAATTGTCAATAATAGCTATGTATATGTGGTTTTATTATTCGAATGTTTTATTATTATTCGAATATGAGATTAATATTACTCGCAGATTAGTAAATAATATCGGACGTATGAGTTTGGTTTAATTAAACTAGATTGTTATGAAATGATTATGATAAAAATATTTTTCTTTCTTTTTTACTTACCACAACAGCTGACAGAACTATAACAAATATAGTAGCCGCGCCAAAACCTACGACATCGTACAGCACACCAGCAATGGAAGGCCCAATAAAAGCTCCTAGTGCAAAAGTTGATGTCCATAATCCCGAAATCAGACCGTAAGTTTCCAAGCTGTTTGCAAACCCGTGCTGACTGACAAGTTAAATAAGTACATTTTCAAATAAGAATTGTAAATAAAAAATGTATAATTATGGAGCAAATGTTGTATTCTTTGAAGAAAAATTGAGTTTTTACACATGCTTTTAGATTTTATATTTGTTATAAGTATTTTCTCTGAGAATTCAAAGTTACCAAACATTTTTTTACTAACATCAATTAAAAAAAAAAATCCTTTACTGCATCTTCGAACGTTCTTTTGAGGTTTACAATAAAAGTTGTATTATTATATTTACACATAAATTCAACACTTTTGAATTTATTGTTTGAAAACTGTAGCTTTTATGTTTTTACTTTTATGGTTTAGTAGCAAAATTACATTTTATAAAATCAACAATTTTTGTCTTAATTTTCCGTAATATTATTGACATATTGTTTTGAAGTAAAAAAAAAAAAAAAATAGGAAAATCGTTGAAGTTAGATTGATGAAAAATAATATACCAACAATGAAATTACGCTTCGTTGCTCACTTGATCGAGCTTTCAGATTCTTTGTCCTACGTCTGGACAAACATATTTTCGAGTAATTTAGACTAAACGCACACATTTTAAAACAACAAAAGCAACATATATTTTTATCTCGGACCGAAAACGGTCCTATAAAAGGTCGAATTTTTAGTTCGGACGAGTATCTCACGGAAACGATGAACGCACATGCTCACAATTCTGCGGAGAACTTACATGGCAGTCCGTAACGCGTCGGTGAACGAGGCAACAAGTTGCGCGCCGATGCCCATCCCGTGCAACACTAATCCCAACACGGTGATTTTAAATTCGCTGAAACAAAAAAATAATGTAAAAAATAGTTATTCGCAAACTTATCTCCGTCGGTGTAATAACCGTCCGTCGGAAAATTCGCATAGCATTCGCTCGCACTTACGTCGGTCTGTTCAGGAACGGTACCGGACCGATGAGGCTGAACCCGATCATGAGTATAATACACCCTAGTAATGTGACGACCTTCGCGGGTAGTATTTTGTCGCACAACCAACCCCACCACGGTGCCGTCAGTGCGTAGGTGCCGCCGTTTATGACGAACATCAGTCCCAAGACCATGGGAGACAGTTCGAACTGAGAGAAATAAATAATTACAAAATTGCCGATCTAAAAACCAAAAAAAAAAAAAACCACTTCGCTACAGCCGTACTTGTCTGAGATGAGGTTCTAACGTGGCCGACAGGAATCCAATGCTCATGGAAGTTACAATTATACTGGCAGCGGCTAACATGATACCGGGAATTTTCAACACTTTCATCAGGCTGGCTGCAAAATTCCAACGATTCGATATTTAAAATAGGTCAGTTCAGTAAACGCTATAATCCTACTAGCTTAAAATCAATATCTTAAATATTTATTTGGTATTTCGTTGTTGTAAAAAAGCTTACATTTAAATGTTTTTTTTTATATATATATAAATATATTTTTAACTTACGTAAAAGCAATTTTTTATAATTATGACTAAAACTTTTTTAAATCACATGAATAAGAAAAATCGTTCACTGGCAATTATTGCAGACCGCTGCGATTGTATTCGAACAAATAAACATATAAAATCATTTGACGAGATGTTTCATTAACCACGAATAGTAGCTTTAATGTAAACTTAAAAGGGATTGATATAATTATTTGTAAAGGCATATAGTCAAACTAGGCATTTCACCAAATGGTTATGCAAAAGTTCAAAGAATTTCCATTTCTTATTATTGGCCTAACCCGGAATAAGCATTTGGTTGAATAGCAAAATATCATAACAATTTAACTCATTGAATATTTTATCAAGAGTAAAATATCTTGATTATATGTGTAAATGAAACTGACGTACATGTAAACTATGCTTTTATTATGAGTGTTTGAAAAGTATTTAGTTGATATCAAATCAAAATAAAAAAACGGTTGTCTATCGACATTGATTTTCAAAATCGAATTAAGTTTCGAAATTCTGAATAAATTTCAAATACTATTAATATTTCAGCTGTCTATTTCCTAATTAATTTTGAAGCATCATCACAATGAAGCCTGTTGCATCCAGCGAATAACTAATATTTTTTTCGGTTAATAATAAAGATTGAAAGGCATTAAAATATTATGAAGTTATAAATAATAAAAATGTTAATATGTTAATCAACAATTACCGTCACTGGTTACATCGTTTCTACGATTAGGATGTTCAGGTAACACGAATGCAGTCATGATAGCTGAAAGGAATAACGTGGAACCCAGAACCACAAATGGAGTTATGTAACCACCGACCTGAAAAAAACATGTTTAAAATTTGAAAACGATTTTTTAAGATTATTAACAACATTGAATATATTAAAATTAATAACAATAAATAAATAAAACAAAAAAAATAGAGATTCTCACTTGATACAGAGCTCCTCCGACAGTTGGTCCAACAATTAGCCCGAGTCCAAAAAATGTCTCGAGTGAAGCCTAAAAAAAATTAAATTAAACGTGTACTCATTTACACAAAATAAAGCAGTTTTCTGTGCAATATTTACGAATGTTGTGGCCACATTGTCCGGGAATTCCATAGCAATGATGGCAAAACTGGCTGTCAGGAAAGCTGCATTGCCCAACGCTTCAACGATACGTATAACGAATGATAATATGATAAATGGATAATGGCCATCCACTCGGTCCAAAAATCTGGAACCAAAACAGAAACAAAACCCAACTTTAATGAACCATTCGGCCAAACGTGATATATGTAATTCAAATACAAATTTGGGGAATCACGTTCTAATCGCGTTCCTTTGGAAATCAAGTTTTATGAAGAGTTGATTTTTTTCTTCTCATTACTAAGAGAGATGTTAAATGCTCGCATGAACAATATTTATGTGTAATGCTAAGTTTGTATATCAATTTTAACATCATCTTTATATTTTTTTTTTTTAGATTTTCATTGTAAATTTTATGTATAAGATATTTATTGTATGTAATATTGTATTTCTTTTGTAATTGTAGGTACTTAAATTATCTGTACTATTGAGTCTCGGCCCGTTTTATTCAAAAGAATAAATTATGATTACTATTATAATAGCACCCATGATACTAGGTTTAGTATTTAATTTTTTTATATTGTTCTGTACTTTAGTTATTAAATAACAATAAGTTTTTTTCTTAGTTGATCACTATAACGCGATTGTTTCTAAACACCAGTATGCGGTATGATCGCACCAAGAAAAGAAACCACTGCTACTGCCACTTCTTCTGACTGGTTAGGTTAATTTGGATCAAGAACATAATTATTGGGATACAAATAGATATTGTTAATCTAAATTAACCTAATCTTATAAAATCTGTAGAGAAAATTCATTATTTTTTATTGTAATATGCTGTGACGCCTACATAGCAGATTGTGAAATGATCATACATTTAGAAGTGACGTCATACATTTTTTAAATTAATAGATTGAGTTCATGTTATCAAATTAGATGAATTGTTTAAATTATATTATAAAATAATAACATTTAGCCATCTACTTATAAAAATGTATAAAATATTAACAATACATTTTTTGTACATATTTATTTCATATTTTTATCTTGTTTATTAATTTGCACATTTAATGTGGTATTAATGCTACAACTAAAATAACAATTATGTGTATTTTTAGTTTAAAAAAACTCCTTGTGCTTCAATAAAAAAAAAATTTATCTATGATAATCATGCTACTAACTAAATAATTATAACTTATTAGTAATTATTAATTAAGTATGCATAATAAATTATGAAAAAGTTAACCGAAAGTTCTAAGTAAAAATATAATTTCACAATACAATATAAATGTCAGATCAAAGTTTGTTTTTAAATATCTAATGAAACAGGTAATCAGTACACAATATTTTTTTCTTACCCAAACAATATTGCGCATATTCCTGTTGTAAATATCCCGCCATTAAACAAATATTTAGGTCCGATTCTGTTCAACTAAAAAACAAATATAAATCATAAAATATGAATTGGCGGAATTCTAAGTCTATTAATTAAAACTGTACTCACGTGTTTTCCATAAACTGGACTGATTATGAACACGACCAATTCGAATACACCAAACACCAACCCATATTCGGATGCAGTGGCTCCTTTTTTTTCGGCCTAATACATGAATCGTAAAAATAAAAATTCAAATTTTTCTTCATTTTTATAGTAAAATTTATTTTTATTTACTTAAATTCATCAATTATTAAAATATGTTGATAAATTGCCTATTTAGAATAATTACAATAATTACGAATGGAAAAGATTTAAAAATATAGAATTTTAAAATAAAAAACTTCTTTCCAACAACATTTCGTTATTCATTCTTCTGCATATTAGTTTTATCATAAATGATGAATAGTAATTTCAATTATTTTTAATATTTATACTATCAAATAATTTAAATGTTGAGATATTACTGTATACACTGAAGTATATAATGAAAGAAACAAATACAAGTAAAAACCAAATAGTTATGAATATTTTCATAAATACGACGACAGACAAGTGTTAGAATATACTAAAGGATTTGAATACAGGGTCCTATTTACGCAAGGACATTGTGGGTATTTGTCCAGGATCCATGCGTATCAGTAGCCAACCTACTGGATCTAATTATTCTTTTAATTTTAATTAATCCTTAAAATTCTAGTCTAATTATATCTACAAATGATAAAAATACAATAATTAATCTATCTGACCAAATTAAATTTATTAAAAATATGCAAATATTTTATACGTTTTAAAATTTAGAAATATATTTGCATATATTTATAACGATGCCAGTAACTAATTGTACTGGTGAAAAATCCTTTTCAGTTCTCAAAAGAATTAAAAATAGATTAAGATCATCTATGAGTCAAGAAATGTTGGATGCCCTAGGAATCTTATCCAATGAAAATTACATCACTGCAAACATTAATTTCGATGAAGTTATTGATGCATTTGAAGAAAAATTTCAAATTTTTTTTTTTAAATTCTGAAGATTTTTTTAAATCTATACTCTGTTTAATTTACTTTTAAAATTTTTTTTTTTTAAATATGAAGATTTTGTAAAAAAATAAATACCTACATTCTAATATTGTTTTATTTACTATTAAGTATTGGATGGTTTTTATATTTACTAATTTACAGTTCATAAAAATAGGCCAACTTTTTATTTTTGTCCCGGGTCTAAACAATTGTAAACTAGGCTCTGTTTGAGTATCAAAAAAAAAAATATAATATAACGAACAGAGGTAATAATAAATGACGTTTGCAAGCAAAGAAACAAAAAAACGAAGGTACAATGAAAATTCCAAGTGACTTTAGTCATTAATACTGGGAAAATATACACTGATCAAAATATAGCGAATAAAAGACTATGAAATATAATCATAATAGTGAATATCAAAAATATTCTGAGAATAGTAAATACAGATTTACTCTCAATTCGAAAGATTGTCATTATCATAAAATTTGAGAACACCTAACCAGACAATATTTTATTACTGTTTCTAAATGATTTGTAAAAAAAAAATATTAGCGTAATTTATTATATAATCATTACCTGATTATATTGAGTATATACATTTAAAAATGTTAACGTGTAAAACTTAATCATGCATACAACTGTAATCATAAATTGTTTTTCCAAATTAGATGTATTGATTTATGTAACATATATTTACAAACCAAATGGTGTCGAGGTTAACAATGATCGAACGGATCCATGCGCATTATGAAAACTTTGGACTTCGAGTATTTGATTTGTATTTAGGTCGAGATTGTAAATGAAACTTTTTTTTTTTTAAACTACCTACATCCAAACGCACATCTTTATTTGTATTTATCCGTTTTCACAATTATGTAACGCAATGGATACGTGACCTAGAAAGAGTGCCAAACCGTTTTTTAGTCATGAACAGAAACTAACTTATCAATGCACCTAAGTAATTAATCCGAAACTTCAACACGCCTATAAACCCATGGCCAAAATTAGGACAAATTGTTTCTGTAATTAATTGAGACTTATAACAGAGGCACGGTGTTCAAAGTATATGACTTTGGTGGGAGGAGTACGTGGAATTTCAACGACTACATGGTTTTAAATTATAACGTACATCATGCGCGTATACGGGGTGCCAAGAGAATTCACAAGGAAAACTCTTTTAAACCCGCCCATCTTTGAATCGGTGAACCCGAGCGAGAAACTCTGAATAGATACACTGAGTACTGGACTCGAAGCACCCACAGAATCGCAGCTACTTCTTACTACCTTAAGTATTGCATGAAAAAAAAAATTGAGCAAATAATGGGTCCAATAATTTGAACGTGTTAGCATTATATGTTATAAATGTAGGTCGATAAAAATAAATCATCAGATAACGAAAAAAGAAAAAAATTCCGAACAAAAATCTTACATATAGCACGTAATAAAGGTACACGTATGGAAACGTGTGTACGTTAGAATTATAGATATCAAAAGAAGAAAATGAATTACTTATTTTATATTAAAATTAACGAAGATACCGCGCTCGAAGTATTTAGATGAAAAATAATCGTGAAACTAATGAGCAACGTAATTTTTCCAGTTGTACCGTTATAACGTTCGTAAAAACGAACCGAAACAATAAAAAAATCTGAATTCTTAATAAGTATCTAGTGTAGATTGTACGTTAAAATCGCCTTAAATGTTCAAACCATGTGTAATTATGGTGATTTTATCAAATTTTCAAGAAAGCTCGATGAACGAAACGAGAAAAAAACATCAATCAACGATACACATATCGTTCTGATATCCGTTACGAATGCATTTACCGGTCCCCCTCCCCTAACGATTACCGTTGGATTCCCATGGTTACGCAGTGTTGTTGTTGCACACACGCTGCAGTCGCGAACTCACCTCTTGCGGATAGAACGGAGCCTGCAACGACACGCAAATCGCATTGCAAAAATCAGCAATGCTGAAAACGATCAACGTCAACCACTGTCGTTTGCTGAAGTTCGATATTTGAAGCATTTTGCGGACGGTTTAGTGATGTCGTCGACCGCTGCTGTTACTGCTGTGCTCGACGTGTGCGAGGAAAACGATTAGATTTGCGCTATCGGTTCCGAATGACTTGGTGATTTCGTGTCACATGGTGCTGTCGGTCCGGTCGATTTGCATAGTGATACTGTTACGTCTTTAGCCTCTTGAGTCCGGGTAAACGCGATCGGTAGGACACGTCTGTGTACGAGATACGCAGCTAACCTACGGCAGGACGAGCAAGGATTGAAAAGAAAAGAATTGCTCCGGTGATCTGAAACACACGAACAGTGGTTGATTTGTACAGTTGTGCGGTGTGATACGAACAATGCATCGATAAAATTATTACAATAATTGTGATAATACTGATAAACGCAACGAGGGACATGGACCGAAGTCGCTATGGCCACATGACGCGCGTGATTTATAATATTGTTGTTATTTGTATTTCAACGAATTTCTTCGAAAGAATCGAACCTAGGGACGCACGCTGCGCCATCTTCAATGTAGATACTCTGCACACACGTGGATGTATTATTAAAAACTCATGGTCATCTATACTTAACGAATTCCGAAAAAAATACACTTTTACCCTTTGTACCATTTTTCCTTATAACTTCCATATTTTTTTGTTTATTTGTCCATACTAAAATTAGTAAGTACCCGAGTAACACATCAACTTAGTTGATTGTGGTTTCTAAGAGTAATTGTATACAATTTTATTAATCTTTGAGTTTTATTTAAAACATTATAGAACTATTGAATCGAATATTATTTTATGTGCCATATTCATACATTTTTTTTTTAAGAAAATACGAGTATTATTTTCTGTATACACTTTAATACAATAAGTAAGCGTTTACCATAAAATTAATATTTACTAGGCTTGAACAACACTAACGAAGGAGTCCATCGACACCACTTAAAAAAAAAATAAATAAATAATTTATAACAATGAAAGAATAAGGTGCGTAGAAGAACGCTAACCTGAGTTAGAATAGGTCTCTATCCCAGTTTCTTTTAAGACGACGTAAGGGGTTAATAGGATTAGAAAGATTATAGAGATTGTACAATATAGTAAAGGGTTAGAATGGTTTTAAGTTTCACTGAGAAATTGTTTGAAGTATCTAAAAGCAAGTTCAGGAAGCGTATGAATATTTAGGTCTTTGTGGAGAGTGTGATTACTAATATATCACAAAGCACCAAATATTATTTGTTGGTTGATTAATTGGAAGGATTATAGGATAGAAATATTAAATTTTTTCGCAGATACCCAAGTTTAGATTCCGTATAACATGGCTGAGCGTATATGTTTATAAATAAATAGTTTCGTTTGAGTGATATATTATAACGGAGATGTCTCAGGGAATGTAAGCGTAGGTTTAATAATTAACATTTGATCTTGATATAATAGGCCCAGTTAAAATTGTTGTTTAAATGGATGCTTAGATATTTGGTGTTATCTTTTTGGGGAATTATGTTGTTATTTATTAATAAGGGATTAACAGTTGATTTAACAGTAAAGTAAATGTTACGATTTTTTACGTTCATTTTTATTCTCCAAAGTTTGAACCAATTTCGGAGTTTGTACGGATCATCTTGGAGTGATTTAGTTGAGCAATTGGAGTCAGAATTGAAGGATAGTAAGACCGAGTTATCTTCATATGATACCGTATAACTATCACATATTTTTCTATCACTATTTTTTTTTTTTTATAAATATACTGTGAGTATTCTAAAAAATAATATATTATGTGGATTATATTGCGCTTACGTTTAAACGCGATGACGTTTATCTTCTACAAACAGGTAGGAAGAAACGAGCAAATTTCCGATTAATCTAAAATTGTTGGGTATTATTCGTGTATATAATGGTAATCCGAAATGTAATTAACACAATGCGTGTATTTGCGTTCAATATGTTTCAATACTGTTACTAGTTGGATGGTTTTGTGATCACTATAGGCCATTTTGTGGAGTGGTCCGTACACGAAGGGAATTGCTTTACCTTGACAAACTAAAATAGCACCACTGATATAATATATAACCATGTGGATAGCTTAAAAATAAAACAAATAATAATGCCGTGCCTTCGTACGGTATTGTTGCCCACGTTCCTAGCACGTAATCTATGATCTGCGTGCTGACGCCGATGACCCTCCGAAACATGTAAGCGTATGTTTTAGCAGCCCAACGTACTTATTTATCACATCGCTGTTACACTATCAAGTGTTGGATTATTATTAGTTATTTATTATTATCATTCTGTTCTCTTTCCATTCATAACGATAACGACGTAATGTTTATAATAATAATTAAAAAGTGCAACGTGCACGCGCACGCAATTGTAAATCTACGTCTCGACCAAGTACTTTCTATACCTCAACTCCCAAGCCATCCCTCACACATAATTAGACCAGTGGATTCTATTTTAACGTAACACTAATGCAGAGAGCCCTCTTGGAAAGCTATCTAAATAATTTTTTCCCCTAAACTCGATGTGTTGAAATACTGAATTTAATTGAATATAACGATAGGCGTTTCAAGTGGTTGTCTTTTTTTCATTGATAAGTAATACTGTACGCGAGAGAAATTTTGATTTTAATTTATTAAATATCTGAAATAATTTATAATTTTGACCATTTGAAATTTTTTTTTTTTTTTTGATACACCACTACTGAAATGACACGTCGATGAAGTGGACCGCCATGTTTTTCTGTTTTCTCCACATAATAAACATAATGCTAACCAACAAATACAAGAAAATAGAATTGCCCCCTCCGTACGTGTTGACATGATTGTTCTTTAAATTAATACCGAAACAATTCATTACTCTCTTTCACTCTCTCTCTTTCTTAGACGGTTTGCAAGTTTTATTGGTTTGATAATTCCGATACTGACGCAACACGTTTTTGTATTGTTGTGGTTATTGTTGAGGCAAAACCGAAAATTATAAGGACGGCACTCACTTGATGTGGTGCGTGCGGCCAAATCGAGTCCGATCGAATCCTTTCGGCAACGGACGACAGCAGGTTGCGACGAGACGAGTGCGAGTTGTCGTGATGTCGAGGTGTCGTCCGAAAACGCGAAATCCGTGAGGTTGAAGTTGAATCCACGCACAACCGATCCGTATGTCTACCGGAATACGGAACGAAAACAACGGACGTGTGCGAACGATATCGGACACCGTTCCGGATCTCGTGGGCCCGACAATTTATGTACAATAATGTGTCTCCCGTGCAGGTGCGACCGGGCAGCAGTCGTACGACGTGTGCGCGTTCTCGGCGTCGTGTGCGCGGTGCGTTCGCTCGCGGACGCAGACGAGACGGATGGTACGTGTGCACCCGCCGGGTTTTCGTTTCGACTTTTGACGACCGATAAATACGAAAATAATAACGTACGATTCGATGTTGTTATCAACGACTCGCACACCGAAACGTAATCGTACGCACACGCACGCGCACACCTCGCGTCTAGAGGTGAATCCGCGTGCACGTCGTCGCAATACCGTTCAACGCGCGCGCCAGGTACCTTATCTTCGAACGGTCGTACGGGGCCGGAGGTGTGGTGGACCGAGACCGATCGGATTTTTAAAGTTATTGTAATATTCATACGCGCGCGCGCGCGCGCGTGTTTATCGCCGGTGAAAAACCATTTGTGTAACGTGCACTCGTGGTGCGACCAAAGTTCGACGACGGCAATCCGGTACTGGTCCGCCGTCTTCTCCGATCTCACGAAAACATCAACAATTCGTAATGGTCATAATAACGCTATTCGCATACGTTTCGTGAAAAGTGTCTTTGTACACGTAATATTTTACCACCGAACTGTCGGCAAATCTGGCAAACCGATATCGTAACGGATTCGTTTAGGTTTGAAAGAAATAAAAAAAAAAAATCGCTTGTGAACCTCTTCCGATTCGCCTACTCCGAAACTTTGATCCCGGTAGTACGAACCCGATTCGAAATAAGCGGAGGTCGAACAATTTATCATTATTTTCATCTCTCGTCGTGTAGCTAATAAAAATGTAATCCTCCGTGTGCCGGACGTTCGTACTGAAATCGCGCTGTTTACCGGGGCTCCAAAAATAATTGACGTACATGTGCTTAATGGTGGATTAAGCGCGGTTTCCACTTGTCAGATTTCATGCCCGAGGTCACGTCGGCGTTACTCGAACCAGTGCCGTGGATAAGGTTTTGATCGTGTAGACGCGTTTTTTGCTGGCTGTCTCGAACGAGTCACAAGACGTGACCGGCACGTGTATCAAAATTGTCATACGAAACATGTTTTTAGGGTTCGGTGCACAAACAGACGGAACGAGTTTGCTAATTGAACACTTTGGATGTTAGAAAAAAAATATTGTTAAACTATATTTATATTTATAGGATTCACCTGTTGCTAGAAATCTAATTTGATTTTAGCCGGTATCGACTCTCGTAAAAATATAGTTTGTTTTTGTTTTTCCGTTTAAAAGGTAGTTGAAATGTCCGTCACTCGTCGTTAAAAAGTTTTTATAGCTCTTCGGATCACGTTTAGCAACCCATTTTCGAATCCAACATTCGTTTATTTACTTTTTATTTTTAGAGTTTAAAATTTGATTCTTATATTCAAGAGCTAAATGCCCACAAACTGAAATAATCGCGTCTGCTACGTTTGACTCCATTTCGCGTAACGAATATCGCTGATAATGTGTACATTCACGTCAGAATTCGTACAAATGACACTCGGATTCGAGTAACACGGACGTAACAAATCTGACAAGTGGAAACCGTGCTTTATATACAATTCTTCGTTGCTTAATATTCTCCGAGAAAAATATTGAAATAGATTTAAAATCGTGAAATTATATTTGGAAAATTATTCAGAATTCCATTGGGGATACCGAAGATTTCAAAAACTTAGCGATGAGCATCGCGAAACAATTTTACTTGAAATCGAATCCAGTCAGTGCGGAAGAGTGGTTTCCAAACTTTTTTGGTGCACGCATCCTCAAAACAAAAAAAAATTATATCGCGCCTCCCATGAATATATAAAACAAATTTTTTTTCTTTCATAAAAGCAAAGTACTGTCGATCCAAAAATAAAAATATTTGGTAGTGTAATGTGTAATATAAATATTTGCTTTGCACCTTTATCGGAAGGCGTGTCTCACATTTTGGGAACCACTGGTGTAGATTCCAGACCGATCGTACGTGTCGAATAATATCACAGGACACGTGTCCGTTCAGGAGGACGCTTTTCTTTCGAGAAGTTTGTGCGTCTATAGGAGCCGCGCAAAAGTATCGGCCAAGAATAAAATCTTATGCGAGTATACAATATATATGTATTTATATATATACGTGTCTTATCTCGTAAAGGCCGTACACGCGTATTATCGCTATTATTTATAGTGTTATTGTTACCAACAACGCCGTTTTCCGACGATAATCGTCTTTCCCGTATGTATATCAGTAATCTGATGCGCTACGGTCTATATTGTGTACAAGTATGATAATAACGAGCACGAGTACTCGGCGACGGTCTCCTCTCCAATGCGTTTTTCTTTTCCCTACCGAAACGAGCGGTTGCCCGTAACGGACGCACTATACAGAAATTGACATCCGCGTGTGCACGCGCCAGTGCCGTATTTCCCAGGAAACACTATAAGCTAGTGCTTAGGGCGGCAAATAATTTTTAGTATTACATTTTTATCATATGTAACTAAAACTAAAACAAATGCAACTAATTATAAAATGTTTTACTTTAATAAAGCCAATGGGTATCAAACTATTTAATTTTCAATATAATTTAAAAATTAAATAGGTATTTAAGCTTTTTTTACTACCATTCTTTTTATCATTATATTTTATATCATATTTTTATAATTAAGTTTTTCATATGAACGTATGTATGAATTTTTATTACAGCCGTATATTTTTATTTTACATCATTAAAATCTTAAGTCATAAAGGAAACAACTATGATTGTATGCTTTAATAAAATTGATTTTACTAGAAAAATATTTATAATAAAAGGCGGCAATTTGTTTAGCGCTTAAAACGGCACAATGGTTAAATCCGGCACTGGCACGCGCCAAGTTTTTTTTGAGTACACCATACTATACGTACATACCGTAGTACACATATTCATCATTTATGCGTTTTCCTTCTTCTTTCGTACACCATTTATATGTAATAACGCGAGATACGAATTCGAAGGAAGGTGCGTGTGTAAATAGGCGTTCGATGAACTGCTCGTTGTTCGTTTTAAATTAAACAAATACAAAATGTCAAAAGAATCGTTCATGATACAACCTTATCCTTACGTTATGTAATACGTGTTATATAATATGTGTGTCGACCTCCATCGCCAACACCACATGTAAATAAAATTCCTACCAAAGACACAGGGGCGTATTTATGGGGGGGGGGGCAAGGGGGCCCGGACCTCCTCCGAAATGAAAAACACCATTGTTAAAGATTGTTATTTTTAACATGGATATGTCCTAATGCTGGGGGTTTCCGAAAATTTGTCGCGACATTCTCAATGCGATAATTAAAAATTTTATATTTATAAAATATGTTTATTCTTTTAAGAAAATGTGTGGTGAATTTTGAGTGACTCTAATAAAAAATTTGTTTATTACAATGTAGTTTTTATACTTTTAAAAAATAATAAATCATTAAAAAAATTGAGTTTCTTATTTTTCTGATGGTGTAAAGACTGTCGAGAAGTCTTATAGTGTTAAAGTAATTTTTTTCGTAGTAGTGTGCTTCCTCCTTCCTTTCCACCCAAAAATCAAACACATAATCGGCCCCCTCCGAAATGAAAACCTATATACGCCACTGCAAAGACACGAAAAATTAAATTTAAAATGTAATATAAAATTATAGCAATACCACTGAAACTCCATATACGTGCTATGTACCCCCAACCTAAGTCGCCTGTTCAATATAGAAGAGTGGAAAGTCGTTTGGCTGTGATTTGATGCACATGGAATCAGTAGAGTGGTGAACATAATTCTCTAATGAGATAAAATAATTTTAATTATCGGACCCACCGCCCACAGCAAAAAAATTCATTAACTTTTTCTAAATTATGTATATATATTTATTATATGTTTATTTAAACAACAGATTTTTTAATACAACGGATGATCATTCAAGTTGCGTTATTCCCTCTCAAAAATAAATTTCAAAATCCCTTTCACAGCTTAAAAACAATAAATTTTCCGAACCCCGGGTTAACCAACCATCGTTTTAAAGGCACGTGCTTCAAATAAAGTCATTCTTCATGCCATTTCATAAAACGTCATCCAATTTTCTTCAGAAGTTCTTAACCATGGTCTAACACGAAGATATCTAACAAATATATGTCTGTTGGTATTGTAAGACATATTACACATAACAAATTATGATCTTTACTCATAAATACTTTAAATTATATTTTTCTCTATTTTATATATAATATTCAAATTTGATAATCTTATACATTCTATAAGACTGTTGTAATTCAAATTTTTAGTACTCCTGTATTAACTAGTAAACCGAATCTATAGACAACTCACAAGGTGATCCACTTGGTTTTTTTATAGTAAGTAGTTCATGTATATTATTTTTTAACGATAATCTTGAAATTTTATATTAACATAAATTATAAAATATTTAAGGTGGATAAATGATTACAAACAAATGCATTTTATTAAGAATATATGTTCAAAAGTTTTAATTTAAAAAAAAAAACAGCTAAGACGTTTTAAAGCTCATAGATGTATTGGTTATATAAGATCTGAAAATATAGGTTACAATAATACAACCCACAGATAATATTGTAATTGCTTATACCAATTCAATCACGTTTGGTATTATAGAAAATAATCATTTTTATTTTTCACCAAATAAACATGAAAAGTTATTAACGACTGTGATAGTATTTTCTTAAAAAATAGATATACTTTAGATTAAACCTATTTTTAATCCATACTGTCCATGGGTGTAAATAAAATTATATGCTAACTATTTAGGTAAACTTTGTGCATATCGCGATAAAGTTATAGTTTAAACTCTCTTAGTCTTAGAGATTCAAAAACTTCAGAAATTAGATACACGCTTACTAAATTTATGAACTCCGTAGTCTTACCTTATAGATAGTTATTCAGATAAGTAAACCCATAAAAATACGAGTTACGGTTGTTTAACATAGATCACTACAAATCATATTGTATGATGAAATAGCCGATAAGATATGGTTGTCGTCGAGTATTATATTGGTTTTAAATATTAGAATCGACTAAGCTGTGTTTGACGTATTACATCATAAATCACCTATTATATAGATATTTAGTATCTTAAAGACTTAAGAAACGAAATTTGATCACGGAAAAAAAATGGGGAAAAATCACTAACATTCGGGAAAACAACTGATTTTTCCATGTTTCAAACTTAAACCATTATAAAGAAAATGTTGATTGGC